TGAAAGAGAGTAAGCGATTTCAGATGCTTCCTTCATGAAACAAGGCCGCATGAGATCTGGTTTTTCTCAGCCTAAAAGAGACGACTCCTGCCACAGGGCCTGCAGCCACCCAACTTGGATATGCAGAGTTAGGGATGATGGGCTGCCACCAATGTTGATTTACAGCATTTGATTCATATAAACTTAAAAGAACTGGGTGCCTTTTCTACAGACAACAACACTGCTAGATCTTTTTATAACCTTTAAAGGATAAGGATGGAGGGAATAAGGATGAACAGGATGGAGGAGTGTGGTGAGGAAAATGTGGTTGAGTTCAGAATGAATGTCACAGATTATTAAAAGAAACCAGAAGGGATCAAAGTCACTGATATTCTCTGCCTTCGTGTTTTTCCCCACCAATTAGTGGCAAGAATTCTGATTGTCTTTCCAGTTGTAGCTCGTTAAAGTGCAAAATGTGTCTGAGACTAACTGCTAGAGCCCCATAATATTGATTGGCTTTCCTTTATCCCCATAACACTTCTTAAATCTTACAAAACCCCTTTAATATATTGTCTAGTTTCCTATCACTAGTTGGCCAGTGAGTTAAGTACTCAGGACTTCAAAAGCTTTAACAATATAAAGAATGCAGTTTTGATATAAAAGAAACATTGGTTGGTTATTTTATAATTAACATTACATGTTTGCCATTCAGCCTTCTTTTTTTTTTTAACTGAATGATGTTTGCTAGTCATTTTTTTAAATGGTGGCAGATTCAGGATCTTTATTTTCCAATAGCAATGAAATAAAGGTATTTTCACCCCCATTATTTCTTTGTTTCCACTTAGAAATAGGAAAGATGCCCCATATGAGATTTTATCTATGTACAACAAGTAAATGTAATGCAGTGTATATACTGTAGGAGAGTTTTTATATATTTAATTTCCTGGCTAGATAATATTCAGTAATGTACCAAATTTAAAAAAAAAATAAAATTAAACTACAAAATTAATTTCTAAGTTTTATAAACTTTTTATTTAAAATGTTCAATAACAACTTCCATGATAAAACATATTTATGTTGATTTTAATGAGAGTCTTCCCCTCTATGGTAGAATTATTTTATAGTCATAAAATGGAAAGACTTGCCCACTACCTCTCTATAGCTTCCCTCCCAAAAGAATGTAAAATTAGTAAGTGGAACCTGCTCCAATCCTCAATGTGGGAACTGAAAAGTGCTCTATCTTCTGTAAAAACCAAGGTGACCGACATTCCAATTCTTCCCGGATTTTCCAGATTTTGGCACTGATAGTCTCAAGTACCCAGAAACACTCAGTCCTGGGCAAACCACAACAGTTGGTTGCCCTAATTCAGGTGCTTTCCCTTGGAAAGTTTGTGATACTCTTTGAATGGAGAACTAGACAGATTGTTAAATACTTCCGGTTTTTTAAAAAGATATTGCAGATCTTCATTTTCATTTTTCTTTTCCCAACTTCACTCTTTCACTTTCTTTCTTCCCTGTCATCTTCATGCTCTGAACCACTGGATAAGCTAGAGGCATGTTTTTCCACTCTTAATATTTCTAATGCTTTAGTCTTTAATTTTCCTGAAAGAGCTTATCCAAAAAGGGGTTGGTTTCCTTATAGTTTGTTTTGACCCCTCTGTTCACCATTAACGTACTTCAGCAGCTGCGTTATTTTTGCCCACCTCAGCTGAAGAAAGTGTCCCAACGTAGAGGCATTCACTGTGGCAGTGCTTTGAACACAGCTCAGTCTTACCCTTATCTCCGGCAGTCACCAAGGGCATAATATCCTTAGTGGGTAACTGTTCACAGCCTGTGACTGCCCCATTACCTGCACCCTCTTCTGCTGATTTGATAGTTCTCCAAATCTGTATCTCACGCTAGACGCCTCACGCACTGCACAGTATGGAACTAACTAGACTTGAACCTTTAAATTTGTGAAAAATTGGCAAAGCTGGTTTACATAATCTATTGGGCTGCTTCTCTCTGAAGTTCATGTATAATTAAAAAAAATGTTTTCCCCATTATATTCATTTCCAGCACTCTATGCCTAATGCCATGCCACCCTGAACAAGCCCAATCCCGTCTGATCTCGGAAGCTAAGCAGGGTCGGGCCTGGTTACTACTTGGATGGGAGAACACCTAGGAAGACCAGGTGCTGTAGGCGTAAAAAATAAAAATAAATAAATAAAAAATAAGGGATTGTAAACTGACAAGGTCTTTGCAATCTGTGAGGTCAACCAAGGGTTGCTTCGCCTAAAACAAAAACAAAAACAAAAAATACTCTAGTCTAATCAGCTGTATTTTTTCCTAAACAGTTCAAAAGAAAAATTGTCACAGATATACTGGCTGTGAAATTCTTCTTCGTTGAAAATAAGTCATATATATCTGTATTTCATTCAGAAGCTGAAATTTGCTTTCTCCTGTGCTTTCGAAAGCCTAAAAGCAGTTTCAAATCATCTTCCATCATGTAGCTGTCTTTTTAGCAGTGGCGGTAGTTTCCTAGAAATGATTGAAGCTTAAGCAAACAGCCGTATGCTGATACATACATCTATCCATTAGCAAAGATAAGTACTTTATTAAAATTACTTGTAATGAAGTGTATGCTGAATTGTGTCTGCAGCCATAACAGTGAAATTGTGGGACAGTCAAGTAAATATAAACCTCATTCAAATAACATTCTTCTCCCCCCACGCCACGACAAATAACATTCTTAATGGGGGCTGTTCATCTGTTTTTGCCCTTTCTGGGCTTTGCAATCTGGCTGTGATTGCCAGGACCCTCTGTCCAGGTGTCCCTGGAGAGTTCTTTAATTTAAGACTTCATGAAAGAAAGAAAATGACTTGTCGAGACTACACATTGGTGAGAACTCGTATTATAAAATGAGGCCTATGTAATTGAATTATATAGTTAATATAAATAAAATTATATAAATAGCTGACTCCAAACAACATACAGTCTAGAATTTGGGAACAATTTTAGCCTGGAGTGGCTGACAGATGGTTCTTTGTTTCAGTGGTGGCCAGTTTCCTCTTTCCTCTTCCCCTGTCAGCTGTCTGAGTCTGTGGATGCTCTTTGGGATAGGGCTGTTCTTGTCGCACTCAAGTCAGCACTGCAGTGCTGTCAGAGAATGCAACGTTTATATCAGAGCGTTATGGACAATTCTTAGATTCCGTATTTGTAACTGTTGAAACTTGACATTAATGTGGGGGAGGGGGCGGATTTTGAATTGCAAGAGACAGGAAACTCTCTCGAGTTACTTTGGTGGACAAAGGGATTTATTGAAAGGAAATATATTCACAGAACTGTAGGAATTAGCTGTTTTCCCTGATCTCTCATGGAGCGTCTGGTCTCTTCATTGACTTACTCATAATTTCTCATACCTCTTAAATTCAACTCTCACATGTCTCTCATTCTAAATCCAGAACTTGAAGCTACAGCTCCAATATTAACTGACTCAGTTTCTTTATTGTTCTGAATTAAAGTCCCAGTGTGACGTAAATAAGTATGGATTTTAATACTTGTCTCTCTTACTAGACTGCAGGGCATCTTGAATATAAGGATGATGTCTGTTTTATTTGTCAAAATGCCTAAAAGGTACTGAGTAAATATTCAATGAATTAATAAAATATGCAGAAAACCATCTGAAATCTACTAATAAACATTCTTATTGGGGAAAGGTTTCTACATGAGTTGAACTGGCTGAGTTTTGGACTGAAGTCACCTTATTCTTTTCCTAGTTACTAAACATTTCTCACTGCTCCAAGGACTTTCAAACTGCCTTGCAAATTAGAGTCAAAATGCTCAGTAATGACTGATAGGATGAAAACATTCAAATAGCAAATGTTGGGGGAGAGACTGTTTCCATAGTGACTTCTGCTTCAGGACGACTTCACACTGATGAGTGAGTCAGCTGACCCACCACAAACTCAAAATCATCCAGTTGCCATTAACCTACAAACCAGCCCCCATGTTAGTGCTGATGGCAGTAACCCTGCATTTGATTCGCTACTGGGAGGTTCTTATTTTGGTAAAAAAAGAGTTCACAGAAGCAAGTGGGTGATGGTGGAGGTAGTGAAGGGAGAGAATGTGTGGATCCAGCTGTTGATAGTTGGGGGTGTGTTTTCGCTTACCTAAGGAATAGCTTTTTTCTGTGCGATGCCATGGTTTCTGGCTGTCCCTTCAGGGAATCTTTGTCCTAGGAATATCCTGTCTGTGTTCCTGCACCACAGTTCAAAGAGAGAGGGGCCACTTTGGGCAGAAGAATATTTCCTGATTATAGACCAGATGAAGTTGTTATTGATAGAAACATGGACACCAAATACTTCTGGTGTGACACCCTTTTCCTCCCACAATTAAATACTCCTGGTTCTTGTCCTTTTTAAACCATCACACACATTTCACACAATGATATTCTGTTTGCAGAAATCACTGTAATATGGTTTTCTATTGTGAATCCTAAACCTTTCTATATTGTTTTATCATGAGATGGATAACATCATTTTCACAAACATTCTGAAAATATCTAAGTTAATGTTATTTCCTTCAACATAGTTACTTGGGGGGAGATGAAATGCTTATTCCAATGATATGGTCATTGCCCAAAACATTTTTAGAACTCCTCTTCCAGTATCATTAATTGCTTCTCTCATATTTTGAAGTAAGTATGGTTCAACTCTATAGGGATATATGGATAAAGGTGTGAATACATTGTCTTTTCACTGTATTCTACTTAAAACACTTCTGTACTTACCTTATCTTTTCCCCACATAATGAAAAAATCTAACTATTGAATGAGCACTCCATTGTCATGTCAGTTCCAAGTCTGCATGTGGTTAACTGCACAGCTCTCACCTGACTTTAGAAAATGCCAGTGTAGCCCCACAGGTCTGATGTTTGCCACTAGGCATTAGAAATGCTATTGTCTTCATTAAGTGGAATTATAGGTTTCATTGCCTAAAACATAAAGTATAGATAAAATGGATTTTTCTTATCATCTGCAGGAAATGTTTGATGTTATATTGGATGAAAACCAGCTGGAGGATGCATGCGAGCACCTGGGAGAATATCTCGAGGCATACTGGCGTGCCACCCACACAACCAGTAGCACCCCCATGACCCCGCTGCTTGGAAGGAATTTGGGCTCAACAGCACTCTCACCCTATCCCACGGCAATTTCTGGGTTACAGGTATTGTCACTTTCCACTCGTGCTTTGTAACCTTCCTTTAAGGTTCCATAGAGAACTGGTTTGGGATAGAGATTGGAATTGCCCTTAATCTGAAGAGGGAAACATGTGTGGGCATTATATTTTTAAAAATCTAAAATATTACTTAATCGTGATCTGCCCTAGACAAAGGTATCCAGAGAGTGGCCCTTTTCTTAGAACTTTGCTCTATGTTAATTTACAATGACTTTTACTTAGATAAGTTAATTTCTCTGTGTAGACTTTGCCAGGAAACTTAACAGTGCAAGTATCCATGTCACTTCTTAAGGATTATACAATAGTGGCAGTGTCAGGCACCATGGCAAGCTAAGTAAGATAGTTTGGGATTGGTGGACCCTTGACTGCCCTTAACTAATCCTGCCCCCAGGCTGCTGGGTCCCCTAGCTTGCCCAATACAGAATGTGCACACGAGTAGAGCTGCTCTGTTCGGAAACAGTGACAGATACCTGAGTTTTCTTGGGTGTGTGTGGGGGCCCATTTTGGTCAGCAGCTATGACAAGTGTCCTTTAAGGAAGCTGAGGACAAATACAGGTACTCTCTTCTGCTGTTCTGGTGCTGTTCTCAGAGCTAGATGTGGGGAGCCAGCGGCATTATGATACAAAGTGATTCATGCCTTTCTATATCAATTATTACTTACCACTTATCAAACAGCTGCTGGAATGTGGCCAAACTCCCAGCTGACTGAGAAACAGGTAGTCAATCGAGCCCTCTTGCATCATGATTAGTTTTGTATTAGTGGGTTATAATAGTCATAATTGAAGATCATGTAGAGTTAACTCTGAGATAAACGGCACTCTTTGAAATGTTATTGTAACTGTATTACTCTGCTACAAAATTGCATCTTTGTAAGCAGAGAAACTGCCATATAAATGAATAGCTTTCAAGGCTGGAAATGAACATGGAAAATGTGCTACTGTACAATATACATATATACTGTATACAACATACGTGAATGCACCAGGTCTATTTCTTGCCTTGTTTCACTGCCTGTGTGCTGATCCGAACGTGGAATTTCCACTGACTAGTTTGGGTTGACTCCGAATTGTACATTGTGGGATGAGAACTGGATGCATGAAGCAATATGATGCCATAATGTACCTACAAATGAAATGTTGCCCTTTGTTTATGAATGCCACACTCTTGACTCATCATCTTGAAGATATTGCCTAGAGTGGTTCTCCTAGTTCCATTTGAGTCAATGTAGTGCCCTTTATCCGTGGCCTATTTCTCCTAGTAACCATGGAATTTAATAGTTAGACCCTGGGCTGAGGTTAAAGGCACAGGCTGTGACTGTTGAATGAGTTTCCTTCTGTGTGAAGGTGAGTGTCCTTTAGAGAAAATGTATCTGGGTCCTTGGTTTTATCAGGATCCTGTTTCTTAACTGAGGTGACCCACCTAAGCAGGTAGACACAGCTATAATATGTGTTTTCCTGTGATTTGAAGAAAAATGCTGAATAACAGTTTCTGAGCCATTAAATAAGTGCCTGAAGATATTAATTTCAGTTAATGGTATTAGAGGAATTTAGTTTATATTTGAAGATTATTTTTGCAGGGCAATTCAGTTGAGGAAGCAAGATTTACAAATGTATCAATTAGTTGGCTCCATAATTGTTGTATACTCCTTTGGAAAGAATATCGCTGAGGGTCTTACATTTGTATAGGATGCAGATATAAATGCACTATTTTATGGGCAGCATGAACTATAATTGCATTAAAATATTTTTAAAAGGTATGAGGAACATTCAGCTAGTTAAAGGTGAAGTGTGTGACTGAAAGACTTTATTAGTTTAAGAGAGAAATAATAGATGCTATTCTGAACTTTAAGTTATTTCCTAATAATAAAATAATCCTCATCTTTGCAATGGAAGTGGAGTTATTAGGCCTTCCTAAATATATTAAGTTCCATTCAGCAGTTAACTTTCAATTCCATATTTTTAATAGAAAACCTAATCATGCAGCATCATGTAATTAAATTCATAAGCTATCAGCACTTTGGCATCTTTGCATGTTATGTCCCAAATAAATAAGATCAGGTATTTTAAGCGGATTGTTTGTGCATCAAAATGCTTTAAGTCATATATTCAGCATCTTATTGTACAGGTACTACTGTTGTACATACATTTACGTGTTCTAAATGAAGAAGCTGATATCATTTAATCAATAAACTATCTGATATTTTTAGAGTCAGCGTATGAGGCACAGCAACCACTCCACAGAGAACTCTCCAATTGAAAGACGAAGTCTAATGACCTCTGATGAAAATTATCACAATGAAAGGGCTCGGAAGAGTAGGAACCGCTTGTCTTCCAGTTCCCAGCATAGCCGAGATCATTATCCTCTTGTGGAAGAAGATTACCCTGACACATACCAGGACACTTACAAACCCCATAGAAACCGAGGATCACCTGGGGGATATAGCCATGACTCCCGACATAGGCTTTGAGTATGCAGAAACAAACAAAAATTTCATCTGTTGACAACTTGCCGTAGCACTGCTAGGATAAACCAATCATCTTAACTTGGCAAGCACAGCACAGTATTTACTGTGTTTATGGGCTACTGTCATTTGATGCTAAGTAAGGGCAAAAAAAAAAAAAAATGTACATTATGCCCTTAAGTCTAGATGGATATTAAATGCCCAATCATATAGATATTTTTAAGTGCAACATTTACGTAACAGTACCTTTTGTTTTCTTCATTAGATTTAGACACATCAATTTGTAATTTAGGGTACTTATCAAGGCACATATAAAATAATTTCCCATGCTGGAAATTCCAAATGACCAGTTCCAGTTGGAACCAATTTATAAACCAATTCCTGTTGGAATTTGGGTGAATTGACTAGAAAGTCTACTTAAGCATGTTGCAATCAATTTAAAAATCTGAGAAAAAAACTAATTAATGAGAATATCACAATACCAATAGAAGCCAAAACCAGCTATGGTATTTATTTGCTGGAAGCTAAATTTACACTTAAAGTTGGAATGTATACACACTTTAATATATGTTAATGTTGCCAGAATGGCTTTTCAAACTTACCAAATGGATGGATAGTGCCAAAAAAAAAATCTCGAATTAATGCAGAAATTATATGGTCTCCTCAGATTTTAATATTTTTCTTTCTTTCCTGGCACAGCTGTTGTTTCAAAGTGTTTTGCTTTTTGTTTAGTCACTACTGTGAGTTCGTTTGAAGCTGGCAAAAAAATCTCAAAATTTCTTTAGCAGTGAGAGAGAAGAGTAAAGCAATGCCCAAGCATAGCTGGTTGTGTGAAATGGATAATAGGGTGTTGTTTCCCCTTTAGTCAATCTGAGCACAACTACACACATCCAGGAATCTGAAACCAAAACAGTAAGGTGGCACGGATCCTCCTTAGTGCAAAGCTAAACATGTCCAGGTGGGAATTCATCTATCCCACTTGCTGCAAGCATGGGTTCCATATTTCCCACCAAGCACAATTATCTTTCTATCGTTTCACTCAGTCTCTGTCTTTGAATATCTGAATGTTCTAGCCTTTCACCAAATTCTTTATAATCATGCTAAGGATTTTAGTTTTACATGGACCCACTCAATTTTAATATTGAAGGATGTGTTTGTACAAAATAATTAATTGAAAATGTGAAAACAAATGATGGATTTAAACGCTTGTGATAAAAAATAAATGCATAGATTCAGAATATATTTGTTCACTAAACTTATAGCATTTTTATTGCAAAGAATTATAAAGAATTTGGAGATTGAGCTGCCTTATTTCTAATCTACACTCCTCTTCACATATTAAGTCTTCACAGTTTTTCCCTTGGCTGTAATTATGGAATTGGTGACCTTCTGTCATATATCAAGGAAGCCTTAGATTCACTATGATCCAAGAAATAATTGAAATTGATCCTTTTATACAATACACAAATGTCTTTAGGAAAAGGCTCTTGTTTCTGAAAGTCCATAATGCATGCATTTTTCTAAAGCCCCAATAGAACCATGCATAAAGATCCTTTTGTACTGGTACATGTCATAAAACTTATTTTTTGAAAACAATAATAATTCATTTTCTATTATCTTATTTTCCCTCCCAAACCTTTCAACAGTTAGGGTCTCAAAGCATGCAACAGTTAAATAATTTTCCTGACCATGAAAATAAGTTCTATGTTCTTGATTAATTATACATATCTTGAACCCCATGGTTGAACCTCTCACATTTCCTCTCCTCGCATTCATTGTGCATATACCCCATTATGAACCTGTTTAGCTGATAATGAGGATGCCTATAATTATGTAAGTTATCTCAAACATTTGGTACAATTAAAAAATATGGACTCAGTAAATTCTAAAAGTTAACATGTGATGCTGGCTTATGAGATTCTTTGTCATCTAGTGAAGCTTACAGAACTTTCAGGTAAGACATTTAAAAGAGCCGTATCCATTAGGCACTTTAATAAACATATAACCTGCCATTATTGAATACTTTGTTAGAGCACAGAAGAGCATTTTCCAGCAAACAAAAATATATTTATTACATGTACAGCACATATTTGCATGAGAAAGAAAACATTAGCCAAAACATTTTTCTAGATGCTTTACTGGTTTCTTGTTTGTGCGCATTAAAGTATTTAATTGCAGAGAACGCACCACAGTGTATAAATTTAGACTAGACAGCTGTTCAGCTTTTTCTGTAGTAGCATTAGCAATCTGGTCATTTAACTACTTTTAAGATATTTACATTTTATGGCAGGTAGCTGTAACAGCATTTACATATATTTCCTAGTCAGCAAGATTACCATTTTCTTTCAACTTTTAAAAATCACTTGTTTCTAAAGGCCTCTCAAAGCCTTGTTTCTAAGTCTTCCATGTCATGCTGATAGAGAGGTCCATTCAATATCTGTGCACAAAGCCAATATGTCATTTACCATCAAGTGTCCATATGTTTTGCTTTGCATTCTTATTCAAAAGCTAACAATTTTGGAAAAGGTATAATGTATATTTTCTTGATGGATATATTTAAAATTTTACTTTGGTATGCATATTCTTTCCTCTTTTGTAATAAGTTTATCTTCTCCAAATGAATAAAAGATATGCATTTTCCTTTTTTTTAAGCCTTAGAGTTTATTGTGTAAATGATACTAAAAAACAAATATATACTAAGTGAAAAGTTTTATTTTTGCCAAGCACATCAAACACCTTTGGAAAATACATATTCTACAGATACTTTTGTTTTCAACTGATTTCATTTAAAAATAAGAACTGATAAGCAGGAGAAACAAGTCATAATGTTTTGAGGCTGTTTTAACTTGTAGTATAAACCACATATTCTGTAATTTCAGTATATGTAATTTCAGAATATGTAAGTTACATATTCTGTAATTTCAGTCATCGAACATGTAACAGTGTAGACTCGTTGACAATGTGGAAATGTAGTCCTGGAAAAAAAGGAATGCAATTTGTCGATATGGATGTTAATTCTCAAGGCTATAATGTGACTCCAGTATTATAATCAACAATATGATCTTGTTTACTCCAATATTTAATGCAACACTGAGAAATGTTTATAAATGACTGATGATTCTCTCTTATCTTTATACAGTTCTATTAGAAAGAATATTGAAATTAACAATTTAGGCTGATAGTCTTTACTAATAAGAGTCTTACTTATGTGATGATGTTTCATTGCACTTAGTCCTTAATGAAATGAACTTTTTAAATACAAAACAAATTCTGAGAAAATTATTTGTTCCCTTTAAACAATTTGTTAATTACTTTATTTTTATTGCTGTTGTTTGCAAAATGTATTTTTGGAATGTTAACCTCTTTTCATACCTGCATACTTGAACCTGTCTTTTGTGTGGGGGCCTTAAAATTCATAATAGGAAGCTAGGGCAGTGAAAGGGAGGGAGAGAAGAAAATTATGCCAATAGCTGGTTTGCAAATTTAAACTTTTTGAATGAACATATCATAAAATGTTATTGAAACCCAGGATGTCAGTTAAGAATGTTTCTAGGAAACCTTAATTTGCATGCTAGTGTATTTTCTTAGTTTTACAATTTTATTTTGGTATTTGCTAAAAATAAAAATGTGATGCCACTATAGAAATTGCCCTATATATTGATATTTATACTACTCTTTCTCTAGAGAAGACAATCTGTCTTTAAAGAGAAAATCACTATTCAATAAGTAGTGATCAAATTTATTACTATTACTGCTAACCTTGCTGCAAAGCTAAATGCATAAATTATTAAAATATACCTTCCCTTTAGATTTTAAACTGTTTCCAGAATGCTCTTGTCACCCTTTCATTTCTTCCATGTTAGTGAAGTTTTCTTTGAATTCATTCACAGTTTATTAGGAGGAAGGTTAATTTAATAAATCATTCATCATTGGGAACAAAACAAACTGCAAAGGGAATCGTCTTTGTGTGCAATTTGTTATAATATATCTAGCTCTAAGTCTGAAAGATTGTCGATCCAAAGGCTTGATGTTTAAGTGTAGCTGGTTTGCAAATTCAATTTTGTTGAACCGGGTAAGAATATACATTCTTTTGAACTTCCATTCCATTGAAAAAACTTCATAAAATGTTTCAAATAAATAGGAATGTACCCATTATTTCTTTCCTATTTCTGTCTTTGCCTTTCATGACAACGTTGCATGTTGTTTTCTTTTTAATTATATAAAACTCATCTTTGAATGACTATATGAATGAAAACATTATAGGAAACCATATAATAAAACCTGTTTCATCAGGTTCTCATACCTTTAAATATTGTTAGTACTATAACTTATTAATTACTTACTCAAGCTGTTTCTGTAGGTCAGACAACAGTCTTGCTCTTTTAAATGACAATCATGATCAAACCAGTCAATAGAACAGCTATCAGACAAGGATAACGTTTTCATTGTTGACTTAAACTCTCAAGTTAGTCAAAACAAGAAAATTGGTTTATATGGACAGACAGAGCTACAGCATTTGAAAATTATTTTTTAAAGCTTTCTTCTTTTCATAAAACAAACATTCCCAAATGAAATACATCCTCTTATAGCAATGATCTCTGTCTAACTCTGTGGATGAGTTATTCCCAAATACTTCATATAATTGAGGGACATTGTGAGAAGACTAGAAACTATCTCATCAGATAATCTTGACTAAGGGCTGTAACTCCCACCTACCATGAAAAAATGTATAAATAGCGAATAGCAATGAGTTTGGGGGAGTAATAGTTATATACAAAACTTTCCTTTGTTTTTTGATATATGTAAAATGTTTGCAGAAAATGGCAAAAAATGTTTCTAATGAATTTCGAGTGGTTTAGGGAATACCCTGATGGTTACTTTTTGAAAATTATAAGGAGTTAAAATGAGAACTAAGAACCAAAAGAAGCTGGCCTCTAGCTTTTCAACACTTTGTAAGTGTTCTTAGTTGTGTTTTGAACACTTAAATTTCTCAACAAATGGCTATGTCTACATTTATGTAGGGGCCACGCTTGCCCTACTTGCATGCCACTTTCACACACTTTTAACTGAAATCAGTGTGAATTCTGTCTGCATAAGGGATGTATTAAAGATGCAGGATCATTAATGCTATATTGTTGCATACTATTTTTCATATGCCTTACAATATTTTCTGGGACATTATTAAAATGAAAGCATTTTATTGCCAAAATAAATCTGTGTTGTTACTTCTAATCTGCATTAGCAGTAGAAAAATAATGTAGCAAAAACATATATTGTACAGTACAAAATTATAAAAGATATATATTTTGCCAATAATATGAAAATAGATTGAGCAGAGAGAAGCACATTTGTTATAGCACAAACTTGCAACAAATCCACTGTTAAATTTGGCAGTTGTATTTTTAAAAAGTATATAGCTTTAGTTCTAAGTTTTATCAAATTTATT